AATGAGCACCATAGTCCGAAATGATGGACAACGGAGTCCCATGCAATCAGGCGATTTTCTGAATGTACAACTTGGTATAATCTTCTACTGAATCTGTAGTGTTTACTGGCAAGAAGTATGTTGACTTGGTAAGTCGATTTACAATCATCCAATCAAATCATGTTTTTAAAATGAGCAAGATAATCCCGTTATAAATTTCATATTTACCATCTCCACTCAAAATATGTGTATTCTGTGATAAAACACTAGGCTTTCTACTGCTCAACTTTCACTTGCTGACAATTCAGACAATTGGTTACAAGTCTGCGACATTCTTTTTTCATGTCGTTCAACCAATCAATCTCCTTGGTCATGATGCATATTTGGGGAACTTGGATGGAAAGAATACGAGGAATTATAGGCTTCTAACATGATCTTCCCTTTTTAAGTCCATCTATGTCTGGAACATACAATCTGTCTTGGTACCTCAAAGTACCATCATCTCCCCCTTATTTCAAAGGTCTTATACTTGCGGATCCTTCTCTTTTTTGTTGGGATCCAAATAACTTTCCTTATTTTCTGCAATTCTTTGCACTCTACATCAATGATGACTCATCTTCCAACTTACTTCTGAGAACTCTTTCTTACTAGGAAAAACTAAGTTATTCACATAATGGAAAGGTAATGTATTCACAATAATCCTATACAATCTTAATAATTTAAATCTGCTCACACTGTCAATCCTAGAGAAACCACATTTTGATAATTTCTAAAGGCTATTCTTCTATAGTTTGCCCTCTTACTGCTAGCTGATTTTTTCCCCACTGCCACTGTACTTCGGGTCTAACTTAAACTCTTTGGGTTCTAACACATGTTCGATATTTCAAACTGCCATCCACTCATTTGAGGTAACCTGGCTAAGTGAATCAAATCTTACCTCTACTAGCTCTATTGAAATGCTAATTCACTGCATCAACTCAAAACTTACTTATTATTCTTTTACTAAACACCTGCTAGAATCATGTTTTCTTGTTCTACTTTGGATAACTAAAGTGAGGAATAAGGTTATTTCTAACTTCCCTCACCATCCGACCATGTTCTATGGTCGCATACTTACCGTTTTTTTGGACCATGTACATGGATCACACTTAGGAAAGTTCATTTGTCTTAAATAAAATTGGAATATCTAACCCCAACCATTCAATATAATACTAAATCATATCATACTATAAACATCCGTGGTAATCACTTAGTCACATAACCTAAGGAGGAACTGCCATATCTTTTATCTTACATCAATAGTTGCTTCTTATAGCAACTACTAACGTGGTACTTCTAGTTTTGATTTGAATAAATATAAACAACTTAAAATCGCTCCCTGAAATTCATTATTGGCTGCTCTTGGTTCTTATTCCATACATCATATCTTCTCGTCATTTGCATGATCACATCTTTGGTAATAACAAACATTTCTGACCCCTAGGTATTTTATCCTTAGGCTCTTTTCTGTCCAAAACTATAGTGACCAATGTTAGGGTCTGACATCTGAACTATCATCATCCAACTTGTGGCTCCATTTCCAAGAATTAAAAATAAAATTGTTTCATGAGGTAAAACACATATGAATACGCTACCATACACAAACTTGTCCTTCAGAGTATATCATTGTCTAATAAATCACTTCTTGCGCCCTTTGGTGAGTCTTGGCATTAATCCGGACCTAAGATATGCGAAGGTTTCGCTATAACCACTGTTACTTACATTTTTTTTGAGAAACCATATGCATTACTGTATACTCACAAGTTACCGAAAATTTTGATACACTGAAAATGGATATTTGGTAACCATATATCTAAATACTGGCGTACTGAATAACCATAAACTTGCTAACTGAAAGACTGTATAACTGAAAACTGAGGTAAACTGATAACCATAAGACATGATAATTGCTTTTGTACTTTCTGATAAGGTTATGCTCTAATCTATACTACTATCCATTGCATCCCACTTTTAATATCCACTCAAGTCTCATATTTACTAGCACGTACTCCATAATTATACCCCAATGGGCAATTATCCTCTTTAGGACCTTACGTTTCTCCTGCGCGTCACTTGGGAATCCAATACGTTTGGAATTCGATAGGAAGAGAAGGTTAACTATTGTTCTAAGCTTCATGGCACGATCTAGAGTAGAAAGAGATAAGACAATCCTAGATGTCTTGGTAGTTAACCGTTTATATGAATGGCCGACACACACATATAAAGGAAACTCCACTAAACACGGCTTCATAGACTCTCTAGGACTCTTGAACCTAGTGCTTTGATATCAAGCTTTGTCACACCCTGAACCTGGGCCTGGACGTAACACGACACTCGATGCCTGACTACATGTGACCGAGCGAACCAACTGGCTGGCTGAATCAACATGTGATATCATAACATACTAAATGCGGAAGATAAAGTAACAAATGCTGAAATACTGAAAGCCTGAATGATAAAAATCAATGTGTGGAAACACTAATACAAGTCTGAAACATATCTGTAGGCAATACTGCTTAACATGAAAAGCTTGCGACTCTGTCTAACTATTACTCTAGTCTATGAAGTCTCTAATAAAGTACTGAAAACATTGACTGTCTGAAAATACTGAAGACTTTAAGATAATTATAATTCTCCAAAAGAACTGGGGATCACCAAACAGCTGGTACAAGAGTCCTAGCGCTCTGAATCGTCCACCTGTAAATCATTACCTGCATCGTGAGATGCAGGCCCCGGGCAAAAGGGACGTCAATACATTTGAATTACATTGGTATGTAAAGCAGCTGAAAGAAAGAATTAAAAATGCCAAAACTGAAACTAAGTTGATAAGTGAGAGTTGATAATTGATCACTGAAATGATAACTATTGAAACTGAAACTGAAATGATAACTAATAACGGATAACTGAACCGATAACTAATACCTGATAACTGAACTGATAACTGAAATGATAATGGAAGTAAGGATATGAATACTCCCTCTTCTGAATGATGAACAACCTGTTTATCTGAATAAGCTACGGCCTCGGGCCCAATATATCTGTGCAAAAACTACGACCTCAGGCCCAAGTATACGTATACATAACTACGACCTCAGGCCTAAACATGCATAAACTATAGCCTCAGACCCAAACATGCATAAAGCATAAACTACGGCATCAGGCCAAAAGATGCATAAAGCATTAACTGTAGCATCAGGCCCAAATACAGGTGTTCGACATTCAGGGATTTAAAATCAGGAACTAAGAATCATATTGCAATACATGACAGTGAAATACTGAATCACACTGAGTTACATGATACTGAAATACTGAATAGGACTAGACTGAGACATGTATTCTTGAACTGATTATGAACACTGAAACTTTAATTGTTTATAACATGCTGAGTAAGCTATACTGAGACTCAGGGACATCAAGCCCAAGTCTATATTGAATATGAACTGAGCTCACAACGTTCAGAATGAAAGTCATGAACGAGCTATGAAGCTAGAGAATAGAAGTTCTACAATTATTCAAGGAACTAGGCTAAACTATATTTCTGAGGCAATTAGTAACATCGTAAAAGAAATATAGTGTAGGGAGAATCATTAATGTTCCCAAACATAGAGAGTTAGCTTCACATACCTTAACTTCCAGCTCTTGAGTGTAATACAACATCGCCAACCCTTTCAACTTTAATCTATATCAATACAAGTCAAAGGGATTCCATATTAACAATAATACTCATGTTTTGGTTACTTAGGCATTTTCTCAAACATTTGGTGGCATAAAGCTTCATAGTCCTTATTAATGGTGTCTCTACACCCAATAACTCATTCTCTTGCTCCTAGATAAATTCTAAAGTCTCAAATGGTTACAATCAACATCATTCTTTATCACCCATAAGGTAAACAATACCCTTAACCAATAATCAACAATCAACAATCCAAGCCTATAATACGTTCATGTTTTTCTATCAAACTCATTAACTCATATATCATGAACTAGAGTCTATAATCATTAATCCAATGCTAGAATCAATTGGAGGGTGAAGATATTACCTTCTTGACGTTCAATCTTCTTGAATTCGAGTTCTAGGGTTTCTTCTCTCAACAATGATGTCCCAATCGAATATCTAATAATATGGAGGGTTTACCCATGTTAATAAGATGTTGGAAAATTGAAATTAACTTAGAATCACCATTAGAACTTACCTTGGGTGGTGGAGGGACACTTGAGGAGTTAGGTTTTTAAGAGTTCCCCTCTCTAGAGCAAGGTTTTTGTATTTTAGGGGTGTGGGGACAAAGTAGGGCTTTAAAATGACACCTATGAGCGCCCCCGTGCACCTGGTAGGCCTGACCGCACAAAATGGCAGTAACACTGCCTCAGGAGCGCGCATATCGCATACTATTCTTAAAACGCGCATAACTTTTGCCACAGAGATCTGTTCGGGCTCCATAATATATCGTTCGAAAGCTATTTCAAAGGTCTACAACTTTCATGCTTTGAGTTTTCCCAAATTCCTCACACGTGTTCACTAAACCCTGCTAAAAGACAGACCTTCTGCAAACTTAGCCGATTTTGTCAAATCTTATGCACCTCACTTTCCATCTTGAATTTTAAATAACTATTTTACCCATAATCATCCCGATGGGACTTCACATGGCCAAAATATAACATTACTACTCATTTAACTCATTCATACCTAAGCCGAATTTACGGGGTGTTACAAGTCCAAAACAGTAGAAGAAGAAATTTATTATGGTAGATAAGTTATTCAAAGTTAGAAGAGGTTTGAAAAAGCAATCTCTCTTTATTGATGAAGACGTACAAAGTACACGTTAAATAATTCTAAATGTCATCTCTCTTCAAGCCTCACAAAAGTTCAGAAGAAAATCTATCATACTTCTCTAGCTTTCTTTATGTTGCATCAACATTGTTTTTGAGCTTAGGGTTTAGCTTTCTAACGTAGAGCATGGGACAATAGCAAAGTGGTTAGGCTATTTTTCATTGCAAACTAAATAATCCATTAAGATACAAGGAAGGGGAAACAAGAGAACAGCTTCTTATAACAAAAGTTATGTTGCTCAAAGGAAGATAATTAACCAGGCTAACAATCAATGATTATCTCAATGATATCAAACATGATGCTTGAGAGAGGAGGGTTTCCTCTCATACAATAATCGAACCAAAAATGTATGTGTATCATCTTTCTGAATTCTACCTCAGTTACCGAGTATCAATCAACACAGAGACATCTGTTAAAATTGTCGCCACATTACAAGAAACTCTGCATGTCAAGCTCCACAAAGGAGCATGGATCTGGGATGTCAAATTCCTTGAGGACCTGAAACCAAATTGCCAAAACATAAAACTCCTGAATCGGGAATGATAATTTGCACTTGAAAACAGCCCACACATGTCATAAGGTCTAAATTCAATGCACAACCGGGAACCTTTGCCTGTTATTTTCAATTGTTCGAAAAACATGCTCTATTATGAATCAGTACACAATTCTTTTGGAACCATCTAAAAGTGTCTTAATCTGCTACTCCATTTGTTAAAAGTATAGACAAGTAGTGGTTCAAGCTGCAAAAGGTGAAAATATCCAAAACTAAGCAGTTCATGACACTGGTAAGTTTTCTTTTTCAGGTTAACAGGGGTGGCCTCCATCCTTGTCAACTGTATAAAGTTATACTGTCTAGAGGCGAAAATATTAGGCGAATTTAAGGCTGTTATGGCAAGCTCAGAATTCTTTTTCCTGAATTTAGTGTCAGCTTTGACTCTCCAAAGAAAAATATTTGAGGTGGTCACTGTAATGATCTGTAATACCGAGGCAACAGTACATCTTAATTGAAATTTCAAGAGTGAGTAAGAAGTGGCTGAACCAAGCATCCAAATGAAAATAAGCAGAAACCAATTGCCTATAGCCCAACAAGAGTAGTAGGTAATCTGTCTTAACAAATCCCACATTTTAAGGAGGCTTACATGTAGATATTCTTTAAGTGACCTGATAATAAAAAATTCTTTGCGTTGACAGCGTATATAACTTAAACACTAATAGAAATACCTTAGGGTGCACAATTCCGAATGTTCCAATTCGATTTCCTTTGTAAACAATTTTAGCTTGTCTTCCCTGAAGAAATGCAGGCTCCTATGACACAATAAGACAGAAATAAGCACAGACAGCAATACTCATAATGAAATGAAAGAGAAAGAATTGGAAATATGCAAACAGTACCTCTGATCTTTCTATGTAGTAACCTTCACAGTCCCCAGGTGATACAAAAGAAGTTCTAGTTGCTTCCATGATTCTGTCGACTAGACCATGTATTAGCTGGAAAAAATGTCAAGACAGTCAAGCCTTTGAGTGTCTAGAAGCTAGTGCACAACCTACAGGACTATTATAATTATACATATGACTCCGACAAAAGAATGAAGCAATCAAACCATTGCTTGGAAGACAGAACAACTTATATTTAAGGAAGTTCCACTCAAGATACTTTTAGAGTAGAACTTCACCTATAAGCAAAATGGCGAAATATATTTTATTCAAGAACCTTCCAAGTTTGGTCCTGGCTAAGAAGTTCAGAATTTGCAGAAATCATCATTCATCACAGCACAACTGATGTCGAAGTAGGATTACAAAATATTCTCTCCCACCCAAGCTAATGATGGACTTTTCCAGAACTCTCTGTGCATACAAGTAGTTCTTGCAAAAAGGATATGGTACTAGCAATGATCCATGTCAAAGAAGATACTCCTTCAAATCCAACATAGCAACCTATTCTAACTAGCACAAGATTTAAGAGCAAAATGTTTGAATTGATTATTATATTAACTTTGGTAAATAAGTGTTTAACAATCGCTCCAAATGTAAAAGTGGAGAACTCAACTGAAAGATGTCACATCCAATTTGAAATAATATGAAGGGAGAAAATTTTGCCCTTTAAAGAGAGGCCAAGCTAATTAGGGTAGACCATAAAAGGAAGTAGGTCAATCTAATTGCAACAGAGGGAGCAAATGGAAATGGGTCACTCTGAGAGGAAGACGAAAAGAGAATCTGCAGGGACTGGATGGCAAAGGTGAATTCATAATTAGGTCCAGCTCTCCATTATGAAATAACATTCACGACTGAGGCAAGAGAACTATTTTCATATGCCAACAGCCTTTCCATTTAAATTTTCACTGGCAACCAAATCTCCCTGAAAGAAAAGAGTATAGACCTAAAACTGAGCTTCCTTTACAAGTAATATATTCACCCAAAACAATTCATATTTCAACTGGAGCTTGTAATGTGCAACAGATGCTACAGAAAGTCTCTATGCATTTCAAATAGCACGTTCACATCCACGGCGATCGCCAAGAAGATGTTGCAGAACAGATAAACTACCGATATATGAGCTACAAATGTGGTACATCTGTACCTCAAATCCTGAGTTAGCGCCGCAATACAGAGCAGCAAGGTGGCGACGGTTTACTGCACCAACATCCTTTGTGCCATCTAACAGGACTACATCACCAACTTCAAAAATCTGAACCAAAATGAGAAAAAAACATTGAATCGATCATGCAGAAGCCACTCTCAAAAGAAATGGCAAAAGAGATATGCATGACAGTAACAAGATGGACACATAACTTATTACTTGGAGATAGCAAAGGAGAACTAACTAACAAGTGTTACTTTTAATTAAGCAGAAAAACCATTCACTGGTTGTTATAAAAAACATCTCGCACATAATTAAACTTCTATAGCCTACTTCCTTCTCGAAAAGATTCAACCGGATAACTCACAAGGTTAGCAAGAAAATATTCAATTCTATTAGACGACTAGGTGCGTACTGCTATTTACTTAAAACTCTCATTAATTGCAATCCTGAGCATACTTCACACGTTGAAGCAATAATGCCAGTGGCCAGGTAATGGCGGGAAACCATGCCGAAGTTAGTTATATTCATTTACCTTCATCGGCTTTGGATGGTCCTTGTTATGTCCAACGGTTCTCAATAATCCAGGCATGAGATTAGTCCGCACAACCTGCAAAACAAGAGCTGTTTCAGTTACCAGCATTTGGTACATAATTATGCAAATAGAAGAAACCTGCAACTTTGTACAAACTTTTTTAAAAAAGTGTGTAGCTTGCATTGAACTAAATCTAAATCAAGAACAACAGAATAATTACACAAAGCAGCATCTCCTTTAAGTAGTAAACAATCTTTTTCACTAGACTGGAACAAGGGGATAAAACAAAATGACTTTTTCCTCATCTACGTTAACTACCTCCGCAGCATCCTCTCTCCCTTTACTAGGGAAGAGACATGTTTAAGTTTGAATTCAAGATATCTAATTTTGACATGTAACAATTTCCTAAAAGAAGCAAAGAGCATAAATGAAAGATTTCAAATACAAACTTCTTATTTTGGGTTTCATCAAAACCTTATCATGATTCTTTCTTCTACATGCCACTTAGAAATTGCAAATATCTGAATGTGCATCGTGTTTCATGTGGCAGTAGGTGATGAAAAAGTGCCACCTGGGCTTGAAGCCATTTGAGGCAACAGCATTCTATGGATCAGTAGGATATTCAATAGATTGACATTCTACTTTGTGTTCTTTGGCCTGTAATGAGAACATCTAGGATCTGGCAAATCAGGATTAACCTAGAAAAGCTTAAAGGGCCATTTTATACAGTAAGAAGAGTATGGTTGCACTGTCGGAAAAATTTATCTGGCTTATCAGCTTAATTGTCGGCATATATAAGAACATGCATAAGCTGTATTTTCAGGTTGAAAGAAATCATAGGCATATTGTACTGGATGGACAAAATTTGTTTTTGGATGGCAGACAAATGATATACGCAAATCAAGCAAATTGATGCATAGATTTCAGATTGAAGGACGGCGATAAAGGATTATTGTGTAAGCTAGACATCAGAAAGGAGAATCCGTTCTTATCCGTCCTAGAAAGGAGAGCTTTTGAGGGGATTGAGTCTCTACATCTTAAGAATAGTCTTTTATCTTTGATCGCTTTTTGGTGCACTCATATAGCCCCTACTTTTTTTTTTGAGAAGGTAACATATTTATATATTAATGAAAGGACTTCACTAAAAAAGTAAAGTCACCCATATTTACAAAGAAAGTGCCTATAAAACCTTGGTCATCTCACAAGGAATCTAGAACATCAAAAATGGATTCATGATCCTCCATAAACTTTCCTTTACACCAAAAATAGAAAAGAGCCAAACATTTCATTTTTATCTTCTGGATGTTACTGGACTTGTCTTCAAAACATCTTTGGTTTCTCTCTTCCCAGATTGTCCACCATATGCATGTTGGAACTATTCCCCATCTCTCTTTATAGCTAGAAATGTTGCCCTCTTTATTCCAGCAAGTTAGAACATCATTAATTCTTCCCGGCATTGCCCATGAAATTCCCCTTAAGCTGATGAAGATTCTCCATAGTTGTACGGTGAGTTTGCAGTGCAAAAAAAGATGGCTAATTGTCTCTGCCTCCTCTCCACATAAGTAACATCTAGAACACAGGTGGAATCCTCTTTTGATTAAGTTGTCCTGTGTTAGTACTGCCTCTTTTGCCAGTATCCATGTAAAGCAAGCAACCTTGTATGAAATTTTTACTTTCCATATCAGCTTCCATGGCCAACAACCAACCTGGTTGTTAGACAAGTTAAATTCCTTGTAAGCAGACCCAACAGAAAGCCTCCCCTGCCTATTCCTTTGCCATACGATAAGATCTTGATTAGAGTTGGTACACTGAATCGCTCCAAAGTATTGTAAAAGTCAGTTACTCTTTCAATCTCCCAATCATTTAGCAATCTTCTGAATGTAAGATTCCATCCCTGATTAGTCCATGCCTTGTGTAATATTACTTGTTGTTGCTGATTCAAGGAATATATGTCAGGAAAGAGATCCTTCAATGGTCCTTGTCCTAGCCAATTGTCATCCCACAATGAAATCTTCCTACCATTTCCTACCTTGAACTTGGATTTGTTAATCAGTTTTGGCCACAGATTCCTAATTGACTTTCACACACTGACACCATATGGAGTTCTCACTGATTTGGTTGTCCATTTTCCTTCCGTTCCGTATTTCTCCGTAACAACCTCCGTCCACAGTAATTGTTCATCTGCCGCAAACTTTCATAGCCACTTCATCATCAAACTCTGATTCAGAATTCTTATGATTTTTATTCCCAGTCCCCCTGCCTTTTTGGTAGTAGTCACAGAGCTCCAATTAACTAGGTGGAACTTCTTCTCACTGTTGCCTTCCCATAGGAAATTCCTTCTTAAGGCATCAATTCTCTTCACTACATTGACTGGGATTGGAAAAAGAGACATCATATAAGTAGGCAAGGCATCTAGTACAGAGTTAATCAGAGTTAGTCTGCCCCCATAGATAGATAATGATTCTTCCAATTTGCTAGCTTCTTTTCACACTTCTCCAACACTCCATTCCAAATTCCTTTTGACTTACTCTTGGCTCCTAATGGCATCCCCAGATATACAGTAGGCATTTCACCTACATTCCCACCTAGAATATCAGCAAGACTTTGTAATTCCATTACCTCATTTACTAGATAAATGAAGCTTTTGTACCAATTTATGCGTAGTCCAGAAGTGGCTTCAAAAAGAATGAATATCACCCTTAGTACTTTCAGTTGTTCTCTATCAGCTTCACAGAACACCAAAGTATCATCAGCATACTGCAAATGTGAAATCCTCATGTTGCTATCAGCCCTGCAATTCACCTTGAAGCCTCTGATCCAATTATTTGTTTGTGCTCTTTTTAGCATATCGTTCAGACCTTCCATAGCAATAATGAATAAGAAAGGGGAAAGGGGATCCCCTTGTCTCAAACCCCTCTGGGAAGGGAAGAAACCAGCTGGGGCTCCATTGATGAGTACAGAGAAGCTTACAGTTGAGATGCAGTATTTTATTCGGTTAATCCATCTTCCACCAAAGCCCATTTTCCTTAGTGTTTCAAGCAGAAACTTCCAATTCAAATGATCATATGCTTTCTCTATATCCAGCTTGCATAGTATCCCTGGTTCCCTGCTTGTTTTCCTTGTGTCAATGCATTCATTAGCTATAAGGACAGTATCCATGATCTGTCTTCCTCTTATGAAAGCCATTTGTTGAGAATTCACCAGTTTATTGACCACCTTTTTTAGCCTCCCAATTTAGAAGATTGGGTGTCATTTATAGAGAATCATGTTCTGATGTAAATTCTCTACTTTTTGGTATACTTCTTGTATACGGGAGTTTTCTCCTTTTGATTAATACAATTTACCTTATCAAAAAAAAGGGTGCTAAGCAAAAAGTTGATTGAAGGTGTGGAAAATTATTGGCTAAGAGGTTTTCCAGTTCGGACTAATCTGGCAATCCTATAATACCTTCTACACATGCATTCAGTGGATTCCATCAATTTTTGGTAAGGCAGGAGAACACTTCAGATTCGGAGAGGTCCTACAAGGTACAGCATGTGAAGCAATGCATATTAATCTTGGCAAAGATCTGTCTCTATGGGTTAATGATATTTAAAGCTTCCAAGAATGTCAGATTATCGCATTGGATCTTCTCCCTCCTCCCAACATACCTTGGACTTTGTACGAGATTAAGTCACAAATCAAGACATCAAGGGGAAATGTTGGGACTTCAAATTCATGAGATACAGATACTGGGATGGGAAGCGGAAAAACATGTATCATCAAGACTATACCGCACCCCCTCATCAGGTGATCAAGGAAGGAGAGAAAAGCATGAAAAGTACATAGTCAACTCTACAACATCCTCTACAAGAACATGGGAGTGAGGCTCAGTGATTCATGATGTTAAAATGAGATTGAAATATAGACAGTGATGTCCTTTTGCTTTGTTGTCTCTTCGAGGTAAAATCACTCATGTTTGTGGTCCCGTGTTTTTTCCTAGTCTAGTTTAGTTTCAAGAGCCTCACTCTCCCTATCCCTTGCTCATTTTTGAAAGCCTTCCATGGAGTTCAATTTGAAATACAAAGGGTTCACTAAAATCATTCATGTTTGTGGTCCCGTGTTTTTTTCTATCTTTTTTAACAGGGGAAGCCACGTGTGTGGCAATGCTCATGCAAGACCATCTCCAAGAAAGAGGGAAAATGCAGTGCTATAGATGCCGAATAGGTCCCAGAAACTAGGAACATTGAGAGTTGACATGGGAGTTGTGGAACATGTTTCTTTCATTTTGGGGATAGTACAGAAGAAGCTGAAAAAAATAGCCAATACCTCGTTAGTTGGGGAGGATGCCCAGTCCCAAAGGTAGTTAGGATGTTTCAACTTCCCAGGCACAACCCTTTTAAGCATTATGTGACAAATATGGAAAGGAAGGAATAATACATGAGGGAGTGACACATCTGATACATAGTTTGAAGTATATTGTCTTACAACTTTATCCAAGACAACAACACCAACAACATACCCAATATATTCTCACAGTGTGGGGTCTGAGGAGAGTAATGTGTACGCAGACCTTACCACTACCTTGTGGAGGTAGAGAGGCTAACAACTTTATTCAAGACTACAAAAAGATAATTCCTTTACAACTTTGTATCTTTTAAGCGGTCAGTTCATGTAAATGGCACGTGATTATAGTGGATCTTTTGAGATCACTAGACCTGTAACTTATAAAAAGGTTTTATAGTGCTAATGTGGGCCTTCTAGAGGGGGAAAGCAGAGCATATGTGCAATGCAGCACCAAGAACTTCCAATAAATCAGCGAAACGTAGCTGCTGATATTTGGAACATGTTTATCACAGTTTTGGTAAGATGGGTCATGCCTAACAGTCTCAAGGATGCCTACATCAGTTGGATCTCTTGGAAAGTTGATAAATCCATCAAACAAGTCTGGAAAATGATTCCTGCTGGTATTTTTGGTGTGTTTGGAATGAGAGGAATAGAAGATGTTTTGATGGAATATCAACTCCAAACCACGACCTTAAGGCTAGTTGTCTTTAAAATTTATGTAGCTGGGATAGTTTGTCCCCTGTAGACTATCATGCCAAACTTTTGGACTTTGTTAGCTCTTTATCCTTAGCATAGGCCTCATTGTAACAGAGCTAACAAACTCTCACTTTTGTACTTTCGTTATTATGCATCTACTTGATGCCATTTATAATACCGCTTCATAAACAAAAAACAAAAAAATTACGCAAAAGCTAAATCACAATTTTGAGGGAGGGAAGGCTATCTTAGCCCACCAAGACACCGCATAGAACAACTGATATAAACTTATGTGTTTTAATCAGCCTCTTTTCAATAAATCTTGTGTTTATCTCACTGCACATGCACAAGATTCGAAATAAAATACTCTTTTTTAATCAAGAAGAATATCCAAAGTGAAAATGCTAAATCTTCTTCTTCCTAATTTAACTGATTAAACCATGCCATAAGGGGTTTCTGGCAGGGGGCCAGAGTCGATTGACAACTTAAACTCTTTTCGGGACATAGCAGACTCACCTCAAATTCAGATGTACGAGAATCAGCAATGATTACAGCAGACTTATCCTCTTCACAGTTCAACATAGAAGAAATTTCTTTCTTGGAACACAAGATCCATGTTAGGACCTCCGTATAACCAGCCATTGCAATCTAAAATTGAAGAGACATTAAGTTAGATGAAAAACAAGTTATCAACAATAACTTGTGAATCAAGGATGCAATCGAATACATACACACAGGACAACTTCATGAGGCCAAAAAAAAAAAAGTTACTGTTTTTTAGAGAAATTATGTGACTGGCACAGAACACTTAAGTACGAAGCTGCGTTTAAAGAACTATTCATATAGTTTAATCAGATAAAACCAGCAAGCATTTTTTTGGGGAAGGCAACATATTCAATATATTAATCAAACATCAGCACAGAGTTTGTACTGGAAACCAAAATTTATATCTTGAAATGCTTAAACAACACCAATAAGCATTAATTATCTACAACATCGTACCATGAAGAAATGTAAATGAAAGGACTGCAATTAATTGAAGAACAAATTGCGAAAAGAACAAATGAAGAGGGAAGTACCTGATCAAAAGAAAATAAACGAAGAAGGCAGCACAGGAAGGGGTAATAATCCAGCTAGAATACAAAAAACATTGGAACTAAAATTGAGACTTTGAAACTCCCTCCCCACCCCTTCCTGTCTAGAACTTGATAAAAGGCTAAAGTTTGTTTAACGAACTCTAAAAGTCCCAAAAATATATAACCGCATTCATGTAAGAGGCAATATCAAGAGAAGAAATAATTTTATGAAAGATCACATGTAACAGAGACTATACAGAAACACAATAGAATGATGCTACCTTCTGCAAAATTAATAAATACCCATGACAGCTTGAAGTCTGTGTCTACAATATGAACTCTCAAACACGGAGGTGTATAAACACATTACCTCCGACCGAATTAGATCACTAAATTGACTGAGAGGTAAAGGCTTCAATGATGCAGGTCTTCTCTTCGGGATCTCATTGTAGCCATAAGCAATTGCAACATCCTTTTGAAAAGAATACAGAGTTTGAAGCCATATAAGANAGAAAAGAATACAGAGGTTGAAGCCATATAAGAACGACAGCAAAGCAATGGTGGGATAGTAACTATAAGCAGTAATGCATCAAAGCAAATACCTCCGCTACATCACAAGGATGAAGGACATCACTTCTTGTGGGAGGTACCGATACGACAAACTTGACTTCTGCATTTTCTGAGACAGATTCCACTGCACGCAATTGCATTTTATGCAACAAACTAGCCACCTGAAATGTTGTTTGGCTGTTTAGAGTCTAACGAAAAAATTCAATCTTCTATTTCATACCCATAGGATAATCTATATCATTATAAAAGTGGGAAGCTCTTAACTAAAAAGTTGAATTACTTAAATACCCTTTTAAATAACCTAAATACCCAACTTATACCAAGAAATAAAACATCAAATTTTAAATAAGACACTAAATTTATTTGAAAAGATATGATCCTTCATATTAGTGAAGCTAGCGACTCTTTACAACCTTGAAGTCTAACGGCGAACATTTAATTTTTGTGCAGGCATATCAATTAAAATACAAAATAAGAAAATACCAGAAAGCCTAAAATGAGAGGACTCTAATTTAACATAAAAAAAGTCCATGATTTTGGTTCATGTCTCTTTTTGATATGGAACCTTCTTGCAAGGTACGTTTTCATGGATTTTTTTCTCCTCTTTATATTCCTTCAAGTAAATGGAGAAACCTTATAATCTGTCATTATTTGTTTAATGATAGCAATACCATTTTCAATTCTTGAGTTTATGTTAGCAAAGTAATATAATATAACGTGTCTGTCATGCAGTTTGCATGTTAGTAACAGCAAAACCACTTATTGGAGAAGAACGAAGCAAGATAATAGAGATAATAGTTACAAATGAAAGGTTGTGAGTTCGAGTCACCCCAAAAGCAAGGTGGGGGAGTTCTTGGAGGGAAAGGATGCCGAGGGTCTATCAGAAACAGCCTCTCTACCCCAGGGTAGGGGTAAGGTCTGCGTACACACTACCCTCCCCAGACCCCACTAGTGGATTACACTGAGTTGTTGTTGTTGTTGTAGTTACAAATGAAAGGTAAGTTAAAATCAAACAAATTTTAATAAAAAATTATCATTGACCTACTAGGATAAGTAAATGAAATTTATGCAATTTGTAATCTTAAAATATCGATGTAATCAATATAAATGTTACTTTATCATGGGAAATTTTGCCGAAAAGATGGTGAACTTTTCAAAAAATAAAAGATGTTAAACCGGCCAATGTCATACATGCAAAAATTATAGCTGGTCAATCTGCTACCAAGCATACTTTTGTCCTAAAAATTCAAAGGTCTCCCTCTCTCACCAATCCCCCCA